AGCCACTTAACTTATGAGTAAACATATAGGGAACGCATTTGACATCCAACCAAAACATGAGATGCCTAAGTGGACCAAATTGGACTATAAGGAAGTAGGCTTGAAGCCGGCCACCTTTCTTGCCTTCGTGTTTTTGGTGAATTATCGTTAACTATGCCGTCCTGCTCTGACGATGTCCATCACATGGCGGACGAAAGCTCAGCTAGGATTGATCGGGGTTGCAAGACAGTGCGCCGAGGACCTATACGCACGAATCTACAACCACAGCTCCAAGGCAACCCCCCCCACAGCCTCCAGTGTAACCAACTTACGAATCCCTTTCAACTCGCCTCTTTAAACGAAATAATAGGTACTCCAACATATATGAAAGAAGTCCGGGCTTGAAGAGTCCGATAAAAAAAACTATACTAATTTATATCCAGACGCTAGGAAAACATATATGGCGAAGAAAATTGAGGATAAAAAAGGAGAGAATAAGATTGAAATGATTGTAATGCTGAGATTCATCCGAGGTGACGGAGAAAATTGTAATGGAATTCAGTTTTTTGAGGCAGACAAATATACTATGAGCGTATTCACTTTGGAACTGCAAGTAAAATTTGAAAGTTAAATTATTTTGATTTTCGTAGGTATGAAGATCAAGATTTTTTTGGTCAGTCTCATTTAGCTGTAGTGTTGACTTGGCCTCATTATCGCAACTTGTTTGGAGTGACAGGGAGACCTTGTGAAATGTACCTAGTCCTATGCACCTTGACAGAGGGCGTAGGACTAGTAAGTTTAGCAAAGTCTTCCTGTCGCTCAGACCAAGTTGAGAAAACGAAATCAAACCAACACTATTTTTGTATGTAAATAATTGGGTTTCGAAGAGTCTCTTAATGTCTCTTCAAACAGAATAAAATTATCCCAACAGCAACACTATTTTGATTTTAATTTGCATTACACGAAGAAGAGATATGGCTAGTGGGGGTTTACATACAATACAGCACTTAAATATTCAGCTATTTCATATTTTCATCCATATTAATTACAAGCAATTTCTGAGTAACTGATGTCCTCTATTTTAAATAATAATTCAGGTCACCCTAGTTTGCATAAGTTGATGGTCTGATGAATGGTTTTTTCTAAAATAATATGAGTAGGCCTCAGGATCCCATCGAATTTTACTGAACCTCGTTTGCCAAAATATATTCTAATCCAGATTGGACTGCTGTTTAGACCTTGCCAGGGTCTCATCATCATCCTCAATTGGATTTGAACCCTGATAGAACAGCCATTATTTTCGACATTTTCCCACTACACTACACTATCGTGAGTGTCAGTGTCAGATCAGATTTAACTTAAACTGAAAATTAGGCTTCTCCTATACCACATTGTGTTTGAGGCAAACTGGTATTTTGCCATTATAAACGACTATATTACTTAGCTTCGTAGAAATTAGGATCCAAGACTAGGATATGTATTAAATATCAAATGATAGTCTCGAAACCCACTCACTGTATATAGAAGTAAGATAGTCTATTATGACAAAAAATATATTTTTTTTGCCTAGAAGCAGGTTTTCGAGATTACCAGTAGATTTACCAATACTATATCAATAAACTACGTTTCATAATGTAAATTTGTCTGATCGACAACCCCAATATGGTGAAAGCCTGTCTACCTTAATAATCACACAGGCCGTGTGACCCACTCGCACTCGTAGAAATGTTACGAAGGGAGAACATTTCAAAAATATATGCTGCAATATCCAAGCGCAATTCCTGTTAAAGTGCTGATAAGACCCTGGAAAAATTAAAGCTGCTGAGAATACATTTTGGGAAGCAATACATAGTGAAATTCGATAAAATTATGAGATCTCTTATATTGGTGTAAAAAAATTCATTCTCAGACCTTCATCCCCTTTTACGACTTAGAGAGGCTATAATTATTATTCAAGATCTACTGATAGCCTCTAAACTTATTAAAATGAAAATGTAATATTAAATCCTTTACTCTTAGGTCAAATTTGTTATCTAACTTTTTTAAACTCATCCTTTCTCTTAATTTATGCTGTATTAATCGCCTGCATGGCCCTTTTGACCTTCACTTAGCTTCCCTTTCAACTCTATGCTTCCTATAAAAGGTAATAATGTATTTGGCTATTCACCTGCTCGTTTTCTTCGGTTCTCTCGAGTTACCACAACGCCTGGACCTATACCAATAGGTCCTCGCTCAGAACCGTTAGGTAAGCCTGATGGGCTATGCGGCCGACCCACCGGCCTCTCTATTGAAGTAACTCCGGGAGTAGCAGTAGAATGACCAGAAGGTGACCTGATGGCTTGCGGAGTGAGAGAAATCCTGGTTCCTGAGGTTACGGAGCCGATGGTGGTAGGAATATGATGGCCAATGACAGAGGTAGTGGCAGTCGAGGCGGCGGGGATAATAATGCTAGCGCCACCAACCGGGGGGCTAACAATACCTATGTTGGGAAGCATGGACTCACGCTCTGCAGGACGAGAACTCTGAGAACAAAAAAATATGTGTAAAGAGATAGATGAAATTACCATAGTTATGGTTGTTAAAATAATAAAACACTTAATTTCGATGTGAGTAGATTTAGAGACAAGCGATGCCGTTTAGATTGTGTACAATCAGGGAAGGAGGAAACAAGGATAGAAAATCTATAATGTTAGAATTGGAAGCACATGCAAATTCTTTTTTTTACCAAGGATTCACTTACAATATAGTAAAAATATGAATTTAATTAAGGACAGATATCAGAAATGGTTATGGTATCTTCTATTCAATTTATCGCAAGCATATTAACTCTCGGTGCCTAAAATATAAAATTAAGAGTGATATTGTCAACAGTAAATAAGAAATGTGTTCACCCTACTTAGTTTACGATGATATGGGGATTGGTAGCTGAATTTTCCCACAATGCTATGAGTAGGACAAGCGTTTTCATTGAATTTCACAGCATTGCTTTCCCAAAAGGTATTTTCATCCAGGGTGGAGTGCAGTTTCGACCTTGACTAAGTCTTATCAACACCAACAGCGGGATTCGAACCATCACAGTGCAGAGTATAATCTCGACACGTTAACCAAAACGCCACATTTCCACGTGTGTCCTTGGGTCATAGGGCAGATTTAAATGTCAATGAAAGCCAAACATTTGGAATTGTCGATGAAGCAAAGTTATATTTGCTATATCAATCGACTGAATTATTTATTTTTTGCTTGTAAGTAGAATACCGAGACTACCAGTAAATCAGATGTATCAGATGTGCTCACTCTATTCTGTTTAAGGTAATGAAGGAATGGTAACTAAATTTTCTCATCCTGGAAGACAATGCCCATTGTGAAACAAGGTCATACGAAGTTCACTGGAAATGTAAGATCAACTAATAACATTGTAGGAAAGTTCAACCGACAGCCCGTCATCCCCCTAAACGTTACATATCATATATGTGATTTACTGGTAGTCTCGAAACCCTACTTACAAACCAAAAATAAGTAACGCAGTCGAATGATATAGCAAATATAACTTTGCTTCATCGACACTCTCAACATAGAATATGATACGGGAAAATGTCTGGTTTCCTTAAAATTCACATCTACCCTGAGGCCCCAAAGTAATCGTGGCAATGTGGCATAGTGATTAGCATGTCAAGATTATACGTTAAACTGTCATGGTTCGAGTCCTACTAGATATGTCAATAAGACCTAGGCGAAGTTGAAACTACAGTCCACTCTTGACGATAATAACTTTTTGGAAGCAAAGCTATCTGAAATTCAATGTAAATGTAAGGTCTACTCATATAATTGTGGAAAAATTCAACTACCAGTCTTTCAGTGGCTTAAACGAAAGAAGGTGAATACATCGCTATACGTGAGCTAATGATGGTTTTGAAAACCTACTTATAAACGAAAAATAAATGGAAATGATTTAAATACCAATGAAATACAAATAAGAAGGAATGTTCAGCAATAGCGATTTCGTTGTGCCAGAAATAAATTGAGGAAATCTGTTTTGCAATAATGTAAGCTCTTTCCCTCAAAAATGGACAACAGTGTTGAATTAGAATGTAGCTTAAACTAATATTGGATAGACAACCAGAAAGATCAAATTAAAAAAAAGCGTTATATTTGTCTACTATCTCAGAACAGGTGCCCACCGACAACAGTAGCAGTATCTGCAGTTCCAGCAGCACCATTCAATTCTTGCAGTCCTCATGAGCTTCATCATGTACATGCCCCTCAGCTAAAATCAACATTATACTACAAAGTCTATTAGTTTCTAAGACTCCAAAGGACTAACTTCCGTACCTCTATTCTTGCATTCTTTCTGTCGTTACCACATACTCATTTAGATGAGATAACTGTATAATCTGCTTGAATTTATTTGCTTTACTCTCTCATATTGTATCATGAGATGTATTCACCAAAGAATGTGATATGGCAAAAAGCCTGGCCTTTCTTAAAATTCACATCTGCCCTGTGACCCAAGGGCACTCGTGGAAATGTGGCCGAATGGTTAACGTGTCAAGCTCACATTCTGCACAGTCACAGTTCAACTCCCGCTGGAGGTGTTGATAAGACCGATGCGAAGTCGAAACTGCAGTCCACCCAGGATTAGAACAACTTTTTGGGAAGCAA